TTCTTAAGGTTTGTGAGCTAGCTTAATGAAAAAATTAAATTAACTATAGAGGGGAAGAAGGACGAACAGCTAAAATTTCTAGTCGTCGATGTAATTATTTTCGAAGGGATATTCATGATAGGACGATTTGGGAAAAACTTGCAAGCAAGAATACCCTTCAATTTCCGCTCTCAATACAACTGCAGACTGGAGATAGAAATTATTACGGGCGTGCTTATCAGGAGCCGAACCTAATGGACATGGATTCCTCTAAATAACTGAACCAATTGACTTGGATTTGCCTTAGTAAAAGATAACTCATATACGTCATAAAAATAAATATAGGATTTAAAAAAAGCAGACAACACGATGGGAATTATGGAAAGGAGATCAGGAATGAGAAAGACCTCCAATGGTAAATATACCTGCTTTTTTATGAACTAAGCATATAAATTCAATCAATTGTAAGAAAATGGTATATTCAGATGATTATGAAGGAAAAGACAATATTATTCATAAGCTAATCGACGCAATTTGAGAAATTGGCGAAAAATTTAATTCTCGGGTGTTTTGTGTTTAACACTCAGCAACTATTGTCTTAAATGTATTATTGAAACGGCAGAAAAGATCAGCATACGAAGAAACAATAAAAGCTGCATGAACACGGATTGGGAGAGATAGAAAATAGCAGGGCATAGTGAATTGATGGGAAACGAGAATAAATTAATAACAACAGAAATACTGGCTGCATATGGTGTAAATACAAGGAGACCCAAGGTTAGAGAGATTCTTGGTATCCAGCCTGAAACTAATCTAATATATAGGATAAGAAAGTAGGGCAAATTCAGAGAAAACATTACTTATTTTCTAAGCAACATTACCAGTAGCCAGAATGAACAAAGGATACAACTAAATAATTTATGTATTTTGAACAAGAAGAAATCGTTTAGCAAGCTATAGACTTCCGACAGACAAAGGCGCTAGGGTAACTCTAATAGGAATTATATGAAGTAGGTGGCAGACCAAAAGGTCTTAGTCGTATAGATTATTCCGGCCAAAGGAGGAGAATAATTACAGTTTACTTAATCCACGAAAAAGCGCATACTTCTGGAGTGACTCAGATGAGAACAGTCGGAAGTGAAGTGGTAAAGTATGAAACTATCGGATATTGGAATTTTCAGAACAGTAGAGTTATCACAACTGTACATAAGACGTCAGTTGAGCAATGGAACTCATTAATTTCATTTCGAAAAGTTACATTTTGATAAAAAATATGGCAAAGAATAGACAATGCCGACTTCCATGACAGCATCAAATCTGGTAATGTATCCAGGACACAGTCAGGAGCCAGACATTGTCACGACTACTATTGCAGAGTTATAAAGTGCATTTATTCAAGTCACCCCGACTACACGTCCTTGTTGTAAAGATGAGGTCATCGGAAGGAGCTTGCGATCACAATATACTCAACCTTAATGTGGTCCTCACAGCTTTGATTAGGCAATGAAACATTTGCTACGTTTGGATGGATGGTCAGAAACTATGTATATGGCATAATTCATGACTTTAAAGCGATTTCAATTTTTAAATATACCTATACTTCTGGAACCATCCAGAAAAAGAGGCTAACTTGAACACAATTTAGAAAGTTAGATAACAGGTATGTAATGGTCAAGTCTTACAAAGAGACAGGTCAGAAAATACTTGATAAACAAAATTATCTGCATATATATTAAATGTGGCATTCTACTTAGGGCAATCCTAAAAAAGAGCTATAATAAAAGATTAAGTGTAGGGGAGTAATATTTATTCATTATAAAAGTACTAAAATGGTACGAATTTTAGAACAAGAAAGCTTACGCCGATAGAAAATATTTTAGACTAAACTTCCTAAAAACAAGCTTAACTTATGAAAGAAATTTTTCTGGTTCACAAGTAGTACAAAAACGTAGTGAGGAGCTCGAAGAAACGTCTATACACAAGATATATTTAAATTGTTATATCATGTTCGAGCATCTTATTCCAGCTGTAAAAAGCTTATCTGGTGGTCCAAATGCCGCAACTAATAGATATAATTAACAAAAAGCGTTAAATTAAAAAAAGATAAAATCTATTTTTTTATACAAAATGAGGTCAGGTTGCTAACTTATATTTACTTGTTTAATGCATTAATGTTTTCAGTGGCCTTACAAACTACCCCTACCAATGCGTTCGGCTCTTGCAGACCTTGAGAAAAAGGCCAAATCCAATGCGGCTAAGATTGTCTCCGATATATTTTCGGTCTGTATAATATTTTTAAATTATTTTGTCTAGAAGCCTGAACAACTTGACAAGATTGACATAATACGCTCTCGTTTTGTAAGCCAAAAAACAGCGACCGAGGCTCAACTCAAAATGGCAATTCACAGCCAACTAGATGGTGTTAAATTGGGCTTAGCTAAATTGGATGATGGTTTAGAAGAGTCTAAGAAGTGTACAATAAGGTGAAATTTTCCAGATTAATTTATATTAACTAGATTTTCGGATCTAGAGCATTCACTTTCACAGTTAGGAGGGCTATCATCTTCTTTATTGGAGCTCAAAAACTTGTCTAAGAAATATAAACAGGTATTTATGCTTATTACATTATTTTAGCTTGCTGCCGCGATGGAAAATATGTCATATCTAGTTAAAGTTCCCGAGGCGATGGAACAGGCAAAATCATTAATTGAATCAAAACAACTGTTGGAAGCGCATAAAATGTAATCAAGTATGATTTATAGTGTTTTTAGAATCCAAGAAGTTGAAGGCGTACGAGATGAGCTTATGTCTGAAGTGCATAAGCAACAGGCTATAAGCGATCTTGAAGTGATTTTTTAAAACTTTCTTACATATCAGACTTTGCGAACTTTTTTTATCGGAATAGAAGAACTAAACAAATCAATGGCCAGCGAAATGATGATTTTTGGCTCTAGATTATCTAGTGCAGTTGTGACTCAGGGTGTCCTCACGGCTAACTGTGTCCGCATAATAGATAGGGAAGAGAGGTATTTGTCTTTATGTAATTATATTCGTGTGTCTTGAGAGCAGACCATATATGGCAGAAGCGTTTTGAAAAGAATGGCTTCATGCCAGATGGGAGACCAAAACAGTGGAAGGAAATATTTTTCAAAAGCCTTGCCCAATCAATACAAAATAAGTAATTTCTATACTTACGGCCTAAATACTTAAAAATTTAGATGTATTTAATATAATTTTCTATAATTTAAGACTAAATTTTAAATGTTATATTTAATTTAGAATACTTGCTAGCTCTATGGATAAAGAAGATGATAAGAATAGGTTGGTTCGACACAACGAAATGATTCGTCAATGTGCACTAGAGGATCTGAAAATTGCTAAGGTAAGATCGTTATTGAAAAGCTGCTATATAGCAGTTATAAAACATTTGATTATTTATGTAGGTTTTTTTTGTAAAAAACTTATATTTAATAACTAACTATGGTTAGAAAGCTATTGCTGGCGGCTAGGTCTCCGTAAAAACACTAAAAACTCTTTTTCTTCTAAGTCGATTGAGGTCACTTAAGGAATACTATCGGAGCCTACAGTAACAAAATTGGTGGCTTTTAATGATATTGCATTTTA